TCCGTGAATTCCACTCTGCTTGTCTGTAGGTCCCTAAATTTTTGGCCAATAAAAGTTGAGGGGCTGGCCTCCATGGTTATCTGTGTGTGTGTGTTTGTGTGTGTAACCCCCCTTTGGTGCCTCTCGTACCAGGCTCGGCCTTGTCTCAGGCCACCTGGAATTTAGGCCCTGTGATATGTGCATGTGTGATCCTACACAGGTGAGCAGAAAAATCTTGAATGTGAGCTACAGAGTAGTGATCTGGAATAGTGGCATCGTTTAGCTGGCGCTAATTGTTGCACGGACACCACCCACCAACAGGTTTGGAGACCATATGGAGGGGCAAAGCCCAAGGGCTGTTGGAGCCGTTGCAACAATGCCGAGGCGTTCCATACTGGCAAACTCCACCCTGGCAATAGCGAACTTGGCTGGGTTGAGGCGTTGAGCACGGGTGAAAACAGGTGGGCCAGTGGTGGCAATGTGGTGTTCCACCCTATGATTGGCAGAAGCTGACGAAAACGTGGGCTGTGTTAGGGCTGGAGACCGAGCTAGCAGTCGGAGAAAATCATCGGCTGTGAAGAGTAAACTAGATGGTTTGACAGTGTACACGTCACTGCGGGTGCAAGTGTAAGAACAGAAAGTGATGGCGTCAATCAAATGGCAGTTTTTCATGTCCACTAATAATCCATATGCACAAAGAAAATCCGCGCCGAGGAGGGGAACAACCACATTTGCAAGGATGAAATCCCAACCAAAACGCTGCCCACCAAAACACAGCTCCACATACACAGCTGAGCGCCGGTGTTCTGCCCTTTTTTGCTACCTGCCAAAAACTGCTTCTAAGCGCTACAGCACATGCGTACGTCAACATTACACCGTAAATCTCCAAACGTAGAAAGTTTTTGCCACTCTTGCTTGTTTGCCAAAAGCAGAGGTTTATATGTTAGTTGATATTTGTGTTTATTTCGTGCATCAGATACATCAAGGTGATTGTTATTATACTGTTTACATTCTTTACGCACTCCAAATTCTGTACGTATCGGATCAATTTCTACCATTAAACTCGGGTATACACGTGTATTTCATTTGCTGTTTGGGACTACTTTAAACTGTGGGGTTGCACACTCAGATTTCTACTTCTGGCCTGTTGGTTACTTGTATCAACCTTGGCCTACTCCACCAGTTCGTTCTTTACATAAAGGTGGATTAACAAGTTCATTACCCACCTGCTGTACTAACCTATTGGTCACAAGTTAGCAACAGGGGCTGGAGAAATTAATAAATCACAACCTGTTTTTCAGTATCTAAAGCTTGGACATAACAAAAGGATGCCTTCAGCTCACAATGCACGGCCAGCTGTGATATTCAGTATGCTTGTTATATGTAGGATAATATTTAATATTTTTATTGAATGGACGACCATGTTGTCCTATGGTTCACGCATGAGTTACCTTATGTTATTCCTTCATCTAATGTTCTACATCCACACACGTTAAATAACATATATAATGTTGTATATAAAAATATAATGTTGAACATTTATGATCACCGCCTGTCTAGCTTGTATGAACTCAACTCAAATAACTTCCTTATTTATTCTTTCAGCAGTTTTTCCCTATTCCTTTAGTCGCCCCTGCTCAGTGTTACTTTGGCCCGTCGGCCCTGTTCAGTGTTACTTTGACCCGTCGGCCCTGCTCAGTGTTACTTTGACCCGTCGGCCCTGTTCAGTGTTACTTTGAGCAACAATACAATGCCGAATCTGGCAAACAGGGGAAGACGTGGACTGATATACAAAAGACAGAGCAAACGGAACAAGGCACAGGTGAGAACCATCAGGTAAAAACACGGGGTAACGAGGTGGGCGTGGCACACATGAGGATCGTACGGAGCCAGGCGTGACACTTAAAATATACTTAAAATAAATTCAGAAAGTCATGTATACTTCAATTATATTAATTTCATTCTTCAAAGTTGCTAACCAAAATTTGTGAAAACAAACCTAAAATAGCACAGTATTTTAAAATACATTTTAAGTATGTTAGCAGTTAAGTCAATTCATTTCTAGATGCACACTTTAAATGTATTTAATTTACTTTTCATAGCTTTTTGTACTAATGCACACTTCACAAGTTATAACACAAATAGGAACTACTGTGAACAATGGTTTATTTGAAAAAAATGTATGCGCATGTCTATAAAAAGAACAAACACATACATGTTAAATCAATATCTACATTTTCACTTGTAGCTTGAAATTCTTCTACCCCTTTAAAATGCCTAAATTAATTACAAAATTTGTAAACACATACATAACACTCCATAACTGCAATGTATTGCAATGACTGGAAGAATGCACCTTTCATGTTCTCTCAAAATAGCTCTATCAGTAAGACAAACTTATCTGTTTATGTTAAAAGTCCACCATGGAAATTTTATGAACAGTGCTAAAGGAACAACATATCTAATCCCGTTTGATATTATTTGGCAGAGGAATTGCAAATGATCTGGCTTTCAAACAGATCACAACACATTTCCTTTTGAAAGAACTTGGATGAACAGCAATTATATTGTCTGACCGTGTGACCTCATGCACAAATTTGCTGGATATATTTAGCTGTGAGTCTCTGTACAAATGCCCCCTTTTCTTTACCAATTCCTGTACTAAAACACAGCACCTTCTATTGCAGTCACACATTGCATAGTCATGCATGCATTGTGGCTTGGTTAGTACAAGACTTTTGATGCTACATAGCATTCCATCTTTGAGCTCTAAAGCAGAGTTGTTTCTTTTGCGTAATTTAGAGGATTCTGCGTGACAGACTATTCCATTGACAATAAAGCGGTTATAATAGCAGTAGGAATTTACTTTAAAGCCCAGTAACTGCTCTACTGCAATCCTGTGTGTAACAGGTACATTTTCTTGGGCAAAAGGACTACCAAAGACTCTTACGAGTTCGTTAATTCGCTGTGAATTTGTTACTAATACATTGGCATTTTGTAGTTCATTAAACAAGCATTGCACATTTTCATTAGCATCCCTCATGCATCTTTCACCATGTTCTCTCAAGCTCTTCCATCTTAAGAACTGCTTTACAATCTGCTGTGGTACATGTGTAGTTCCATTGAAAAATTTCAGGAGTGTTCCATTGAAGGATTCAAAAGAAAATGTAGATGTTGCCCAAAGGGGTCCCCAATTTCTGACGCTTGTTGCAATGTGGGTTAACAAATGAACATTGAATGTTACATTTTCTGTGCCATACAATCTTTCAAATTCAGTGACAAGCTTTTTCAGTGAGAGCTCTGCAAAGTCAAGATTGCGTATTTTCACTTTCTCTTGAAGCAATGTGTAAATTCCAAAAACTAAAAGAAAAAGATTATTCCAGAATTTTTTTGGGAGAACATCTTTAAAAACTGGTAATGCATAAAACAAAAGAAAAGCCCTCCATTCTGATGCCTTCCAGAATTTGCGATCTTGTACAGAACGAGGTGTTCTTGTCACCTCTACTGGAGGCTGGATTGCAGTTAGCTGTTTATCAACAACATCAGTTTTAGTTCCAATGTACCACTCTTTTTCATGATTACATGAATCAAACCACAAAGATACAAGCTGTCTTGTAACACCCAGACACACACTGTGTTGATATTCTGGTACAAAGCCTTTTATCATTTGGAACTTACTGAGTTTCATTAGTGGGGATGGCCCCTTGACACCAAATCGAGGTTCTTTTGGTGTTGCTGCCATTGCATGGATATAATGTTCTTCCTCTGATCTCAAAGAGGGCTCAGGGGTACAAGATGGGTAGGGACCTCCTCCTTTATGGTAGCAAAAATCGCATCCATAAGTACCATTAAACTGCTTAGTATTTCTGAGGAGAGGTCGAGCAACAGAATCAGAACTACAGAGCAGAACATGCACTCTTGAAACCTGATCTCTGTTTTGTGCATCCTTCCATTTGATTCCATCTTTCTCAAGTGCAAGAGCTTCACTCACAAAGGGGTGTAGCAATGTAAACATGTTGGGTTTATTTTTCCCAAACCAAAGACATGGGACACAAATATTATTCTTTCTCTGTTGTGGGTCTAGCTCAATTATTCGACACTGAATAGGCCAAATCTGACATTTGGAACTCTTGAACACAGGGATTCCATCACAATTCCATAACAAGCTGATGTCATTCTCACCAAGATCCCCACTGCATACAAGTTTTTGATACTCCATTCCATATTGTATGTCACAAAGTTCACCTTCTGATTTGACTTTTTTGCACCATGAAAGATTAGGATTTTCTAAAACATCCTTAATTTGGGACGTCAAGTTAAGAACCAAAAAATATGAGCCGTTCAACAGGCTTTCATTAACATTAAATTCAGCCCTACATAAAATACAATGCTTTGGACTATTGTGACTAGTCCCAATATAGCCTGAACAGGAGGAACAGTAGAAATGTGGTTCATAATGTCCATACTCTCCATATGCTTTGTGAAAGAGATAAACTGTTGAAGGCACCAGTCCTGGGAAATGTTCATTAAACAACCTTAGGAGATGTTCAAGTGCTTTCCCTGTGAGGTTGTGTCGAAGAATGTATGACATCAGTAAAAGCAGACTCTGCCCTTTGGTCAGAGGTGCACCAGGGTAAAGGGGATCACAATCATCAGCTTCATCCACCTAGAGAGAAAACAAGATTAACATATACAACTCTGGAAAAAATTAAGAGACCACATCAGAAGTTACAGTCTCTGAAACTCTTAATTGAAATGTATTATGAATGTTTTAGTGATATCCATTTTGATATCCTGCTTTATCCTGAGCCATAGCAATGGGTCTCAAACCTTTCCTCATTTTGTCAGGTTTGGTTCAGCTGATCAGATATCACATCCTCATTAAGATGAATATTGGTGTTGGAATTTATCACTTAATACTTAATACTGCACATGGAATGACAGCCATACATAAAGAAATTCAGAGCTGGCCATATTACATGGCAGCGCAGACAACATCACAGCCGTGGGCACACACTCAGCCATGTGCTTACATGTTATTAGTGTGAAAGTTCTTCACTGTGAGTTCAGAAGTCACAAAGCTCACAATTTGTAACACATGTAATAGCATTTTACCTATACATATGTTGGAAACAAAGAAAATGTGCTTTGTTATATTACCCACTGTACCTATTATTATTTGGAAAACTATAGTACACTTCAGTTTATTTTTTATTATTATTCTTATTTGTTTGTTCTTCAGTTTTACTCATTTGGAATTGTAAAGTTTACAAATTCTTTTATTATGAATTAATGTAAATATATATGAATTTTATGTAAATATAAAAATGTAATACCGTGATATAATACCATCAATGTCTAAAAAGTGAAAAATACTGTGATATTAATTTTAGGTCCTATCACCCAACTTTTATATACAGCAATTAAAAAATTATTTGTGCAGATGTGATTTAAAAATTGACAGTACCTGCCTGCTCTTTTCAGAATGTATCTCGCCTTGTTAATTATTATCATCTTCATCATTTTGTTGAGTGTCAGCTTCTGCAATGTGCTAGACAAAAACAGGATAATTTGCTTCAACTTTTTCCATAAATGACAGTGCACTTGTACACCTTGTTTAGAATTCCATTATGCTATTTAATTGTAATGAAACAGCTTAAACTTACGAATGTGCATTTTTCTTCCTGTAACTGTCCGACATCTGTTTCATTTTCATCATGTACATCAGGGCCATGGGCTTCGAATAATTCATCTGAAATCTTAAAATGTACAGTCAGACTATTATATGTTTCCACTCATGCAGAATATCTACTTTTCTCAAATGTATTTTATTTACCTTCAGTTGCTTTGTCTCTTTTCCAAGGAATCCCACAGCACCTTCTTGCTCAGATTCATTAGCTGTTTTCTCAGAATGCCCAACTGAGCACTAAATTTTTTTTTTTATGTTTTACATATATACCAGTAATTCAGTCAAATTTATATTATACAATACATATTTTAATGATTTCACTTTGAACAAATATAACACTGCTATAAATTTTAAAAATAAGACTTACGTTGCTTTGTTTTTTCCTGTAAGCACTTTTCCTAGGAATAGGGATTCCGGATTCAATGTATGACTTATAATGGGTCTTGCTAGTCTGTTGTACCTCCAGAACAAAAGATTGAATTATGTTAAATGTTCAGTAACACTACACAGTATAATAAATTAAATTGCTAATTAAGTCAGATGTAATACCTTTGTCACCTTGCGTCTGTATTTAGTCTTCTTCGGTACTCGCGAATCATCCTCCTCCAAGAATCTCTTATATCTTCCTCTTTTTTTGCCATTTTCACACCATTCATTCATCCTCAGATGTTGAAGTTTATGAATATATAAATTCAGAAAAAAATCTGAATCTGCAAGCTGCCGAAGTTAAATCTGACTATCAGTATCATAACATTTCATCTTGTATATTTTGAGAATTAGGCAACTTGCTTTTAACACTAAATATTATATGCCACGATGGTAATAGAATATTAAACCAGCAAACGTCTTTTCGATTGGCTGATCTAAGCAAAGCTTGCGCGCCAAATGTGACCAATGACAGCGCGACAATGCAATTTTTTACATTAACTGTAAGTTAAACTACTTACAAATTGCGGCAGTTGGGGTGTGATGATCGGTAAAACGGTGTGTATTTTATACTTTACGAAGCACGAATGCAAATAGTTCCTTGATTTACCAGATTCTTCTCTACTTAATTAACAACGCAGAGCGGCATTGATGTCTGTAAAATACAATTTAGCATTATTTTATTTTCAGGATAGGTCTGTAGAGGTGGAACGCTTAGATATTGTAGACAAATCAGACAAGAAGGACATAACACAGGTTACAAAATGCCCCGATTTAGAGTCTGAAGACGGTTCGGTGGAAGTTCTTTGGCCATCGAAAAAAGGAGGGAAGAAAGAACACGGTATCGCTGCAAAGATATTGCTTCTTGGCGGTAAAATAATCTGAAGATCCGTATTTATACGTGTTAGCTGTAAGATTAACACTAGTCTGGTGAAGTAGCTAGTAGATGCGGTTAGCATATTCTGTTGTCCATACCTAAATCTGCCACCGAGTCTACGTTAGCTCATTGCTTTGAGATAAAAGTAATTATTTTTCACTCTCGGGGTCCATGGCGTGTGCTAAACTGCAGAATTTTTGTTTCGGCGCCCATTTTAACAAATTAGAACATGAACAGCACAATCGAAACAGATTGGCAGGTCAAAAAACTGAATACATAGCCAAGAAAATTGCAATCGGTGCAACTGTACAGTAAAAGTTCATATGCTAAATAGTGTGCATACCCTTCTTTAATGTCATTATTACAGATGACTGGAAAACCATGGCTGAACAAAGAGACAAGTTCATTAGTGGAGAGGATATTTGGAAAACTTCTGTGAATGTGAAGAGAAAGAGAAAAGTAAATAGCAGATTCGTTGTTGAAAATGTCAATGAAAAAAAGAAGGTAAGCAAACAATCACTATTGTTAGATTAGTCAGAAGTGTGAATCCCTGAAATGTTTCCAACCATTGAAGGCACGGTAAATGTAAATGCAAATGATCTGACAGTTGTAAAACAATGTTATTTACTGGAAGTATAATCAAATTACCAGTACCATATGTTATTATTTCAAAAATGCATTGATGTTATAAAATAAATATATATATTTTTTTAACCATTTTTAACCCTGGCCATTTTAATTTGAATATAGGAAAACAACCCCACCCTAAACAAGGATGCCGCCATTGCAATGGCAGAAAANATTAAACCAGCAAACGTCTTTTCGATTGGCTGATCTAAGCAAAGCTTGCGCGCCAAATGTGACCAATGACAGCGCGACAATGCAATTTTTTACATTAACTGTAAGTTAAACTACTTACAAATTGCGGCAATTGGGGTGTGATGATCGGTAAAACGGTGTGTATTTTATACTTTACGAAGCACGAATGCAAATAGTTCCTTGATTTACCAGATTCTTCTCTACTTAATTAACAACGCAGAGCGGCATTGATGTCTGTAAAATACAATTTAGGCTATTTAGCATTATTTTATTTTCAGGATAGGTCTGTAGAGGTGGAACGCTTAGATATTGTAGACAAATCAGACAAGAAGGACATAACACAGGTTACAAAATGCCCCGATTTAGAGTCTGAAGACGGTTCGGTGGAAGTTCTTTGGCCATCGAAAAAAGGAGGGAAGAAAGAACACGGTATCGCTGCAAAGATATTGCTTCTTGGCGGTAAAATAATCTGAAGATCCGTATTTATACGTGTTAGCTGTAAGATTAACACTAGTCTGGTGAAGTAGCTAGTAGATGCGGTTAGCATATTCTGTTGTCCATACCTAAATCTGCCACCGAGTCTACGTTAGCTCATTGCTTTGAGATAAAAGTAATTATTTTTCACTCTCGGGGTCCATGGCGTGTGCTAAACTGCAGAATTTTTGTTTCGGCGCCCATTTTAACAAATTAGAACATGAACAGCACAATCGAAACAGATTGGCAGGTCAAAAAACTGAATACATAGCCAAGAAAATTGCAATCGGTGCAACTGTACAGTAAAAGTTCATATGCTAAATAGTGTGCATACCCTTCTTTAATGTCATTATTACAGATGACTGGAAAACCATGGCTGAACAAAGAGACAAGTTCATTAGTGGAGAGGATATTTGGAAAACTTCTGTGAATGTGAAGAGAAAGAGAAAAGTAAATAGCAGATTCGTTGTTGAAAATGTCAATGAAAAAAAGAAGGTAAGCAAACAATCACTATTGTTAGATTAGTCAGAAGTGTGAATCCCTGAAATGTTTCCAACCATTGAAGGCACGGTAAATGTAAATGCAAATGATCTGACAGTTGTAAAACAATGTTATTTACTGGAAGTATAATCAAATTACCAGTACCATATGTTATTATTTCAAAAATGCATTGATGTTATAAAATAAAAATATATATTATATTTTTTTTAACCATTTTTAACCCTGGCCATTTTAATTTGAATATAGGAAAACAACCCCACCCTAAACAAGGATGCCGCCATTGCAATGGCAGAAAAGCTAAAGAAGGAAATTCAGAAGAAAAGGTCTGTAATTCTCACAGAGGTCCGTTATGATTCTGAAGAAAGTGAATATGACTGTGCCCGACATCAAAGGAGTATATCAAAACGACTGGTAAGGATATATTTTGTTGAATTATAAATTAAACATGTTCAATACAAATACAAGTTTATTTGCCAGTAAATTATAAATTTGCATCTATAAACTAAAATTAATAAAATAATATGGTGCAGTGTGCAGCCTTCCTCCCAGGGTTTCCCAAACATGCTTCCAGAGTTCTATGGCTCTGCACGTTTGTGGATACCCGCACTCATCTGACGACTGAGAAGGGTAACAACTTGATGCTTTCTTTTCTTTTTCTTTTAGTTGGTAAGTGATTCAGAGGATGACGGCTACATCAAACCAAGTACAACTCAAAGTGCCAGCTGTTGTCTTGACATAGAGACCATAAAGGCTCTTAAAAGTATGTTTTCTATGCTACATACAACCATCACATGCATATTAACTATTTTAATAGTGATAAAAAAAACACAAATGTAATGCAGGATAGTATCATGGTGACTGTGATGTCTAATTTTGACTGGCGAACAACACAATCAAGTCAACACAATGACAAACCTTTTTAAGTAGAGAAGATGTGTTGAGTACAAATACTCTTCATACCATTATTATTTGTGTGACAAAATTATTTCAAGGTAAATAAGTGCAAATAAAACGTGTTAAATAACATTGTGCTTCTTCATAAATGGCTTTATGGTTCAAATATAAATCATCCAATAATTTTGTATTGTTACTGCAGAAGGCACAAAGTGTTGTTGGTGATGCTCAAAGTTATGCATATTCAGTAGCATATTTATGAAAAAGCATATCACTTTACATTAAATCTATGCATTTAAATGAAATATTTACCTTCATACACAGCACTAACCAAAACATTGCAAAATACCATTTCTCTTCAGAGCTACCTGCAATTGTCAAATCCCTAAAGGATGTAGTGTCAAAATTGCCATTGGCTGGCCACATGGGCTCGCCACCCCCCTGGAACACTCCAAGCAGCGAATCAGCAGGACCTTCAAGCTCTGATACACCAGCTTCAGCAAGTTCACCAGTCATGCTATTAAGCCTTTTGTTGTAATTCTTTTGTTACATTTTGCAGATGACCTTTAATAGTTCCTTACAAAATAGGCAATAACTGCATCTAACTCATGTTATTGCCATATTTTAAAAACTGAATTATTTATTTAACTAACTTTCAGTGTATATTGCTATCCTTGTTTGTTGCATTGGGTGTATTAGATTAGGGCTGCCCAGCTAGGTAATTAGATTTCAAAGAGCACAGCCCACTTCTACATAATGTTCAGCTAAGGTTATCCACATAATGATCCAGATGAGGTGAGCAGGACGCTGAAAGAACAGAAACACTCTTTGCCTCACACCAATTGGTGGTGGGCAGTGGTAGCCTAATGGTTAGGGAGTTGTTCTTGTGATCACAGGTTGCTGGTTCAATTCCTAGGCCAGTAATGTGTCACTGAGGTACCCCTGAGCAAGGTATCGTCCCACATCACTGCTGGTGTAGCTGCATGCCCCACTGCTCCTACATGGATGGGTTAAATACAGAGGTCATGTTTTATTGTGGTGTGTTCACAATGATAAATACTCATAAATGCTGTTGCTACTATTGTCTATTCTATGGTTGGTTCAGTACCAGAACTTTCAGTTTGGTACAGTTCCTGGCATGGTAGATTGGTATTAGTTCTGTACCAATGAAACAAAATTAAATAAACATTTACATCAACTGATAAAATTAATAAACATCAAACAAGTGTAATTGTTTGTACATTACATTAAATGAGCAAAAATGGCAACTGGGTAATTTTTGTATTATTTCTCATTCAGGCTTTTCAAGACATTAATGGTTATAATAAAGTTTGGCTAACCTTACATGATAAGTTCTAAAGATGGGAAATATTGTTAACAAGCACAATATTAGCACATAGATAGGGTACCCATATTTTGCTTTACACAGCATCTTAACCTTTGTTGGACATGGGATTGTAGGTCTGAAGTACATGACTAAAAGGAAGTTAATCATAAAGAAAAATTAAGCATAACATTTTGCTTTCAGGTAACATTGCCTAACTCCAACATTCAAGTCCAGAAAAGGCTCTTTGGTCGTTTGAGCAAAACCAGGATGTCACTTTATACACAAGAGCTGGCACTACTGCTTTTCGGGAAGGAGACATTGGCATCCTCATCGATCACAGGGAAGCATGCAAGCAATCATAAGGACCTGCCAGAGAAAGACCAGCTAGACCATGAAAAGGTTGAGGCATTAATAGGTATGTCTTATGCACAATTTAGGCAAGTTGCCTATTGTAGTTTTTGTAAAGTTTGCATTTCCGTGAAGTCTTAGTAAAACAAATCTATTCACAATCATATCAGTTCCATGACACTGAAAATTTGGAAAAGCTCTGTAAATGTGAAAAGAGAGGGATCTCAACCAAACTCAGTGCTCCTGATAGCTCCAATGATGTGTGGAAATACATTATCCAGATTTTAGGGAAGTGATGTCCAGAAATCCCTTTTGTGTGTGCAAGTTACTATTGCAACTCTAATTAGGAGACTGATTGTGAACAAAGGGTGACCTGTGTACACACAGATTTTGCAGATGAGATTTCATATTTTTGGTTTGCCTTCATTTGAAACTCTTGATTTAATGCTCAACATTTGTCTGGTTCAGTAAAACTGATCTGGAATTTTCTCAACAGATTGCGTCATTGCACAATTCCCAGGGACCTCTGCCCAAGAGGTGAAGAATATTTTGAGGAGAAAGTGCAATAACGAGAGCTTTGCAAAACAAAAAAACAGCAAGTAAAGTGTTGATGCTGATTGTTCTTTTGTTGTTTTGATTTATATGTTGTGGTTGATGCACATAATAAAAAAAACTTTTGTTAATGTTGTCTCAAATTTTCCTCCCAGTTTTAACGGAATAACTTTTCCATATTAATATGCTTACTTAATGGTTGTAGTATATTTAAAGTATGATCCTTTTATGGCATGTAACAACTCACTACTAGCTTTTAATGTACTATATGTGCAATTTTAGCATGCTAACGAAACATTTAAACCGCAGTAAAATTAAACTATTAATGCTTACATATCATGTAAATAGTATATGGGCAATATATTTTCAGCATCTTACAAGTATGTTTAAAAGTACATTACATTAAATCTATTTAAAGTATATTTAAGTATGAAATAAGCTGGGTCAAAAAAGTATGAAGTCAATACACTGAATATATTTTTAAGGTAATAAATTAATATCAGTATCACAACTTTAGTATATTAATTATACTTAAAGCTGGGTCAAAAAAGTCTGATAGAAGTATTCTCTAAATAGGGTGTGCTTAAGTATATTAATGGTATACTATTTTTTCACAAGGGATAAGACCAGAAAGCTAAGGCTAGTGGAACTTAGCACTCTACATATGTAAGGAGTACTTTTACAAAAGTTTACAAAAAAGCAAGCGGCACATTTTGAAAGATTTTCTAAATTTTAATTTTTGCTATATTATTGCTTAAAATATTTTTCAATGTCAGTGAAAAAGCAGTATGTAGTTATGATTTGTTAATACTGTATTAAAATTAGATTTAAAAAAAAAAAACTTTTTAAGTGAAATTGTGGAAAATTTAATAAGGGTCATTGAGAAGTGATGGAAAAGTTATGCGATACCATTCATTACAAACTACGAACCCTGTAAATGACTAAACTTGTTTAACATTTTCCATTTATAGGTCACCGATGCATTCATCCACCATCTCATTAAAAAAACAACAGGTGAGTTATAATTGTTGATGTATTAATGCTTCTATAAATTGCAAGCATGCTTCTTTGCATACTTACTTTTGTGTTAACTTTTAACAGAAACCAGTATACCACCTGTGTGTAGCTGTGTCAACTTTGCTATTTTCTGGAAAGTTTTGATGCCTCTTGAAGGTATTCAAGTAATCCAGAAGTTAAATGGTTGCATAACAGAGCTATCACTAACTCGCCAGTGTGGCAAGTGCAAACATGAGAGACTGTGCTGAGATCAATGCAGTGTGGCAAGTGCAAACCCAACCAACACGAGCTACAGCAAGATTCCAACAGTTGCGGCGTTGGGGGTTAAGGGCCTTGCTCAAGGACCCACAGACGTGCTGAGGCTGGGTTTGAACTGACGACCTTGTGATTACACAGGCTAAGCCACTGAGCCACACGCTGAAGCACTCAGACGTCTTGTGGGATGATGACAATACAACAGGCACAAAATATTCACATGATAACTACACTGGATGTACAAATCAGTCTTCCTGTTGTAGTATCAACTGTCGTGAAATAATCTTAAATGTATATTTTGTGAATTTTTTTGGTAATATGATCTGTATCAGTAATCATTTAGGTTACAAAGTGTGTCGTTTGTAGCCTAGTCTGTGGTCAGTTGTATACTGTGCTACATTGTCAACAAGGCAATAGAGTTGCAGTAAAAACTATATTGTGCAGTAACAGTGCAGTAATTCAGGGTTATTCCAAATCATGTTCTTTTAACCCAACTTTAAATGTTGTGGACTATAATTTGATTAACTGTAGTTGGATATTTCAGTTCATTTTGAATAGATTATTTCAAATGGTATGCTCCTAGGAAATGTAGAGGACTACTGTGTGGTTTGCGCTATGTTGGAAGGGAACGCTGACGAAAGCATTATTGAAATGGTAAGACCTCGTATTCCCATACAAAATATTCCCTTTCTACTTTAACATCTCAACTTTTAAAAGAAACATTTCCAAACAGTATAGCATTGACTGAATTTACAAAAGTAGAACTCCTGAAAATATACCTGATCTTTGAAATGAAAACATTTTAACGGACCAAAAGGTTCACACACCTTACTATGAACTCACAAAATGCTTGTCCTAACCTCACATATTTTAATATAGATTAAAAATATTACATTTCTCAAAAGATTTGTTTCATTGTTTCAGATGACGTATTACTTTAACTGTCCTTTAGGTGCAGTGTGACCTCTGCAGTAGATTGGCACATTATAAATGTGCCAAATACAAGAAACACTTCTCCACTTATGTTTGTGGCAAATGTTCAGAAAAATAAACTTCAGTTTATCTTATGCAGTTTTTCTTTAAACCTGCTTACTTGTTTTTTATTTAAAACATTCACAGATTTTTATAAAACTGAGGAAGACGTTTTTTTTTTTATCACATATGATGCCCACAATGTGATTAAAACCAGCAAAAATGCATGGGGCATAGGAAGCTAACTACTACCTCATCAATGATGATTTTATGACATTACATTCTTATCATGGCATTAAAATTCCTTATAAAAAACTGCCACCCCACTAAAAGCTTTAGGCAGCAGTTTCTGACAGCATAAAACTACATGTAAAAAACTGCTACCCCACTAAAAGCTATAGGCAGCAGTTTCTGGCAGCATAAAACTACTTGTAAAAAACTGCTACCCCCTCTAAAGTACAGGAATGTTATTTTGATAGCATAAATCCTTATACAGATGTCCAGTCAGGACTATGGATAGGAAATTTTGGCAACGTAGCAAAATCCGTCGGATGTAACTGAAAATTTCTGTTACGGTAGCAAATTCTGGCAAAGCAGCAAAAAATGGCCGTCGTCCAAGCCCTTAAGTGAAAAAAGGCGACTGGCTCTCTCTGCGACGGAAGGTTCAAAAGTGTCCAACAGGTGGGCTTTAAGTGCAGCGTATTTGTTGTGTGCTGGAGGGTGTTTAAGTAAGCTCACCGCTCGGGATGCCGTGGAGCTGCTCAGTGCTGCCACAACAGTAATATTTAGTGTCGTCGGCGGTGATCTCCCGCAGTTGCGTTTCTGTCTGGGCGGACCATACTGAGGCTGACGATTCCCAGAACTCGGGCAGTTTGAGAGAGACGGCGTTCACGGTCATGTTCACTCGGGGGAGTCCCTGGATATGTCCAGCAGACAAACATCGGGGTCACTAGTGTGGAAATCGGACAAATTCTCACAAGCAGGGACGCACGTCACCCTCCTTTATTATCCCGCAACCACAGAACAATCCAGTCACGTGAAGATGAGCACTAATTGCAATAGGTCAATCGCAAACTGGGATAAGATATAGATAGCCAAATATACTGTAGATTATACTTTAAGTATTCATGAGCAACATAACCACAAATAGACTTGGTAGTATGGTGAATAAATAAACCAAACCTTAAACTGTCATGTTTAAGGGGTTGGGGGGCTATCTGTCTGTTATTAAAATGTCAAAGATCTTGTATATTTGTGACAAAATTCATTTCACTGCATGTTACCGTGCATGTGACAAATAAAGCTCTTGAATTACACTAGACTAGTTAAGATGAGGGATATAGTGATTAGTGCTGTTACCTCATACCTGTGGGATCTGGGTTCAAGTCTCTGCCAGGACTCCATGTGTGTGGAGTTTGCATGTGCTCCCTGTGTCATTGTGAGGCTTCTTCTGGGTACTCTAGATTCCCCCCATAGTCCAAAAATATGCTGAGTTTAATTGGGTGTGTGAGTGTGCCCTGCGATGGGTTGGTGCCCCATCCTGGGCTGCTCCCTGCCTTGCATCCATATGTTCCATATCACTTGCGGCCCTGAATAGGACAAGCGGTTACAGAAAGTGAATGGATGGATAGTAAAGATGAGCAACGGTTACAAATGGCAAAGAAGCTGACAAAAAAATGACAGCGATGTATTGCCTGGATGACCCTGCCACCACCCCTCCCCCCACACCACCCAACATCTATCTATAGCCCTTCTACGCTAGGCTTGAGTGGTATCTAATCTTTCATACTGTCATACCACTATTATTCCAGTGTATAGAAATCCTGGTGGTGGGGGGGGAGGTTCCGTGATTAAATTTGCTGAGCTTGGGGTGGACCTACCATAAATTGTACTGAGCTAAAATACCACGGTATACAGTGCCAGTTAAGAGTTTGTATACGCCAAGCCACCTACCAAGGAGAGTGATAGTGTCCCATCACATAACCTGGCTACCTGACTTACACCCAGTACAGATGATTGTAGAGGAATTTGACCAGAGACTGAAGGAAAAGCAGCCAATGCGTGCCCAGTATATATGTGGGAGCTCCTTCAGGACAGCTGGAAAAGCATCCCAGGAGGCCACCTCATGAAACTGGCATAGAGGAGACAATCAGGTCAGCCAGTTGTGATGACCTGCTCGTCCGATCCTCCTGTGTGCCACGCCCCCTCATTTACCTCGTGTGAAACCCCGATTGTTATCCGCTGTTTTGGGTTATTCCTGATTTGTCTTGTGTATTTCAGACCATGTTCGAGTCCGTTTCCCTAGGTCTGCCATTGAAGTCTCATGATGTTGTGCTGCCTGTCTTTAACTGTTCCAAGTCCCTGCTCCCAGTCTCCATGAAATCCCGTATTCCCCAGTCTTACGCGTCCCTCTCCTGCTTCCCCATTCCATGCACCGCTACCAGTCATGACAGAATGACAGACCTCGGGAAAAAGATGCCTCGTATCGGTGAGGAAAAGGCTGCTGACCTCACTGAAGAGGAGTACCTCGTCCTCACGGATGAGGTCATTTATTGGCTGCGGCAGCCTGAGATCCGAAAGGATCCCGCGGCATGGGCTTTAGCCAACCGGAGCAGGAACATCCTGCAGGAGATGTCCCTGCCCGGCGACGCGCACCTGGCTGAAGAGGTGCACGAAAATCTCCGCCAGCTTCGAGAAAGGCCAGCGGAATAGATGATGTGGCAGGTGGCTATCGACAGCGGACTACCTTACGATCACCTGTCTGAAACACCCCGGAGCTTGTCGGAAGCTGGGAGAAAGAAGGGACAGCGGAATCTCCGAAAGCAGAAAGACACACCGGGGATCTTCCTAGGGGCTACCCAGATCTCCGCTGTTTCCCCTGCCAGGT